GTGTCTGGCGAGGGATGGAGAAGCCCATCTTGATAGGAGGACAAGAATCCAGCCCATTTGTGGTCTATTATGCATCAGGCATTTCCCTGCTGCAGAGGTAAAACACACTGAGTTCTAAACTGGACAGTGTTTGGGACTAAGGATGTTGACAGAATAGATTCATCAGCATTGACCCAAACTCAACATGAATGATGTGTGCTATAAACCTGTCTGATGAAATATGTTGCCAGAGCAGGTTGAGCACGTGAATATCACATGGATTTCCTTGAACTGGAACCCCAAAGTTGTAGCATCCTGATGGGCTAGGCCTGAGGCCCATACCAGGAGCAGGAGCAACTGGGCTAGGTCCTGGCTCCTTAAATGCATGGAGTGGGTAAGGGTCTTCCCTCAAAGTTAGAAACACTGGGCAGGTCAGAATGCAGCCCCTGTAGTGTACAAGTGTTGCTGTATTTCTTCAAGGTTATTCATTAAATCTTCTAAAGATGGCCCAGCCAATGCTTATTTCAGCTTTCTAAATAAAGTGGACCATGAACATTAGCATGTTGGCTAGCTTCAAGGAGACTGAAAAGATAATCGCTCGCCCTTAGGAGCTTGTCTATGTTTTGCATAAGACAATGGCCCGGGGGGCTGGCACTGTAGCGTGGATTAGGTCTCCACCTGCAGCACTGGCATCCCATATAGGCACCAGTTCAAGTCCTGGCTGCTTCGCTTCTGATCCAACTCCCTGCTAATACATCTGGGAAAGCAGTGGAAGATGGCCCAACTCCTTGGGCCCCAGCACCCATGTGGGAGACCAGGAAGAAGCTGCTGGTTCCTGGCCTCAGCCTGGCCCAGTCCCTGCCTTTTTGTCCATTTGCAGAGTGAACCAGCACATGGAAGACTGCTCTCTCTGTCTCACCTTATCTCTTCTTTTATTTCTGCCTTTAAAATAAATAGCCGGCGCCGTGGCTCAATAGGCTAATCCTCCGCCTTGCAGTGCCGGCACACCGGGTTCTGTCCTGGTTGCCCCTCTTCCAGGCCAGCTCTCTGCTGTGGCCCGGGAGTGCAGTGGAGGATGGCCCAAGTGCTTGGGCCCTGCACCCCATGGGAGACCAGGATAAGTACCTGGCTCCTGCCATCGGATCAGCGCGGTACGCGGGCTGCAGCGCGGTGGCCATTGGAGTGTGAACCAATGGCAAAGGAAGATCTTTCTCTCTGTCTCTCTCTCTCTCACTGTCCACTCTGCCTGTCAAAAATAAAATAAATAAATAAATAAATAAATAAAGATATCCCTGTGTGCACAGACACACATGTGTGCCCAGGCACAACTCTACCTAAGGCTTTTGAGGTCTCTGTAATTACATCCAGACACTGCAACACGCCTTTGTGGTTCTGCCTAAGAGGGTTTAAAGTATAACCAAGTATAGATGGGTTCTGAGATTGAATCCTGATACGTAGTTTCTAAAACCGGGACTTAGGGTATTTCTGAGCCGTGGTCAGAAATGAGTAAGTCATTGAATAAGGCTAAGAGAATTCTGATACGCCTTGGGTGTTTTCAACAGCAAAGTGTGGGTGTAGAGCGACTACTAGGAGCCAATTTTCAAGGGAGCTAAAGGTGCCTCCTGAATGGGAAAAAAGCCAAAAGCTAAAATTGCATTTCAGCTGGGCAAATATGAAAGGGCTTAAAAAGTTTATAGAAAAATGACATTAAAAGATGTTTCTTTTGGTGCAGTTTTTTTTAAGTCCATGCATGCCTATTTCCTTTCATAATAGGTACTTTATTATGAAAAACCTATGCATGGGTTTCAATTTATTTTTCAATTACATCTTCCATGAACCTTTTGCGGTACCCTCATACATGTCTAGGCAGACTTAGGAGAAGTGCACAGCAGAGCTGAGGGTTGTCTCAGATAGGGTTCTTGCTGATAGACAGAGACCCTCGGCACCGGCATCTGGAGCCAGCGACCAAGACTTAGTTCTCTGCATGGAGAGAGAAGACTTTGGTGAAGGCGGGTTCATCCTTTTGACTTATCTCCTGTTCCACCTCTCCTGGGTGAAATATGAATGTTACAGAGAGCAACACAGTTAAGTAACATGGATAAAACAGCAGGTGCTCCAATGAGACTGCCAGCACCAATCTGACAGAAAAAAATCCTAAGAGCGAGCCATTGCCTGCTGTGTGAGTAAACTGCACAGTGCTTTCTGGAGACTTTGCCATGGAGCCCCTTGGAAGAGGGGTGTGCCCAGGAGGCCATGCTGGAGCCAGGGCAGCCACGGGCATGTCAGGCAGGGAGGGGACTAGAGCACCCATGGGGCCCTGAGAGCTGTAAGGGAATTCAGGGGCTCACGGCAGGGCCCTCCACATGCAGTGATGGCCACCAGGGAGGAAGTCTCCCCCCCAAGACCAAAGCTTCCTTGTGCAGAGCCGTTGGGGTCCATTCTGAGGCCTTCAGACTAATTTTCTCTCTCCCAAGTCTTAAAGGTATCTTCAATTATAATATTAGTGTGCTAAAAGACTCTTAGGTTCAAAAGGTCAAAGACTTTTCCCCTCAATCCTAGAGTACAAGGTAGCAGCAGGCAGATTTTGAGCCAGCTAATGTGTAAATAACTGCTTTCAGTACACAAACATGCACACACGCACACCTACACACACACACACTCACCATGGCTGAATAGGTGTACACCAAAGATGAATTATAGTTGCCTCTGGTGGGTGAGGTTATGAATCATTTTTCTTTTCATTCCTTTTTTGTTTGTTTTCTTGTTTGGGGAGGGGTTATCTCCATTTTCTAAATTTGCTGCAATTAATTTATTTTTCCTTTATATAAAAGCAAGCCCCCTGTGTCCAGCCTTTAGCTGTATAGTAGACCCTAACTCATATGCGGAACCCTTGGTAATGCTTCTCCTCCTACACACTTTCTGGTCAAATAATAAGGATCTTTGAGTCTCTGAGCTGAGGCAGTGCCCCCACCTCTGCAGGTACCAATTTAGCCTTCGCCAAATGTTGGCTGTCTGTTGAAATGTACCCAGCCTGGAGCTTTAAATTAGTCATGTAATGCTTCTGGCTGTTTTATTCAATTAAATTTAATAACTTCTGATTGACTGTCCAATTGCTATGCTGGGCCATGGCCTTTTGTATGCACAAAGGTGCATTTAATGGCCCAGTAGGAGAACCTGAAATAAAGTGCAGCCTACCATTCCCATTTAATCCACCTCGGTGCTCCCAGTTCTCTTCCTCCCCACACCATCCATGTCATCCCTGACTTCATCCACATCTCAGTCCTTATGCTGTGCTTATTATCTGTCCTTGTGGCTAGGGAGGGCACCCAGAGTCTTCCGTCTCCATTGGTATAGGGAACTTGAATTCCATGGGGTGTGGGGAATTATCTAGGGGAGCAGAGATGGACTATTAGAAATGGCACTATTCGACATGAAACAGAAAGGTAGTGATGCTTTCCCGGTATTTCACAGTCATGTGGGCACACATCAGAGGGCTATGTGTCCCTTGTGGCATTCAAGGATCTTGAAAGCAAAGGGTTGTTTTGATCCAGGAGAACATGGACTGATGCCCTCATTGCCTTGGTTTTCGCTTTTAGCAACTTAAATTTGTGGATTTGAGACAACATTTTCCAGCTTAAACTAAACCATCCTTTTAGGGTGAGCATTTGGCCTAGGCCTTAAAACACTGGTTTGGATATGCATGTCCTATATCAGGGTGTCCCAGCACCAGCTCTTGACTCCAGCTTCCTGCTAGTGCAGATACCGGGGGCAGCTTAAGTGGTTGGGTACGTTCCACCCATGTGAGAGACATTGTTGAGTCTCAGGATCCCAGTTTTGGGCCCCCTAGTCATTGAGGGTTTTTCAGAAGTGAACCCACAGATGACAGCTCTCTTGGCCTATCTGTGTCTCTCTGCCTCTCAAATAAATACAAGTAAGTAAGTAGGTAATTTAAGGCATCCCTCATAGAATGGAATACTGGCTTAGCAAGATTCCTTCTGTAGAGAATCCCTGGATTAAAGATGTTGTAGAATATTTAAACATAAACAAGAACTCATCCCTGAGTTTCTTCTCCTGATCATAGTCCTATGATGACTTGATCTCATTCATAAAGTTACTACATAGGTATTTAGAGTTCACTGACATTAATGGTGAATTTTGGATATTTTGATAATGTTTTTCTTAAGTTCAGAAACACCAGTGTTTGGGAGGTGGGAGAAAGAAGGAGACAAGAGGATTAATAAAATTTTGTATTAAAAGGAAATACTTGAATTATTTCTTTCTTGAAATATTCCTGAAAGTTAGAAGTTACATTAAGATTTCAAAGCAAAAAAAGATAAAGCTTTACCAAAGTGTTGTATCTTCCAAAAATAGTAATTGACAAAGTTTCCATTGAAAATATAATTCTTTCTCTAGTTCAAAAACTTTCTAAACAAGTAGGAAATCAGTCGACAGTATTGAAATTGAAATGGGAACCCGTCGTCTATTGGGGTCTCAATCTATAGGTTAAGATACAGATACATTAAGATGAACCATAAATACTTTTTAAAAAACAAAAATGTAATTTTACCATTATTTGAAAAATTAAAGTTCTTGTAGGAAAACAAGCTTACTATGTCCTCAAGACAATAAAACAATGGAGAGATTAATGGAAGAGGTAGGAGTCAAAGGAAAACATTTCAAGTTAGTTTATAACTTTGTCCTTAACGTTTTCAATTAGATTCAAGAAGCTATTTTCAGAAACTGGAATACATATGTGATAATATTTGTAACATTTTAGAGTTGCATCCTAAAAAATATTTTCCATTTTCAGTGTTCATAGTAGATTGACTTAGATCATATTTAATGTTTGGCTTATTTTTGAATAATGTTTTATTTTATCTGTAAATTTGTTTGAACAATATGTTTTTATTTAACATTTTATAAATTTACTCATTGTTTTATAAATATTTATATATTTGTATTTTGGTGAATATTTGGCTTTGCTAACTTTATTATGCACTCTGAACATATGGATTAAGAAAATGCCTAAATTAATAGTCACATTTTTATAATATGCACAATGAGAACCAAATGCTCTATTATGTTGATTTCTCATAACTTTCCCCATTTCATAGTGCTGGATAGACACAAGGAAAAGCACGTGACAGCTGTCAGTTTCCACAGCGTCTCAGAGCACACTCAGGGCCGTCATTACCGAAAGGGGAAAGTGACAAAATATTCGCTGGCTCAAGTTCAGGAGATGTTTCAGCTCCATGTGTCTGAATGGCCGTCCCTGAATATCTGGCTTGTGAGGTCATCTGGCTACAGGCCCCCCTCTGTCACAGGGTGCATGTAATAAAACTCTCAGAGATCAGATAGAGCCTGTTCAGACAAGTCGCTCTGTGTTGGCTTTAATAAAGCAACAGGGAGAGCCTGTATTCCCAAAGAATGGAGGATTATTAAGACATTCTCGGCTTTGGGAATAGCCATTTACAGATAGATGGGGCTGATGGCTGCCACCAGGTACAAATAATTTAAAGCCTCAAGTGCCCAGAACTTGCCACACAATCAAGTCCCACCCTACACTTACCCACAGTGATGCTTGTGACTTCAAAGGCACAGTAAGTCAGTGAACAGAAAGTGGGCCCTGCAGGTGCATTGGTGGTCCTGGCCAGTGTTAAATTCCACCCCCCTGCTCATGAGCGCTGGGACAGACTTCGGAATGGTGGTCTTCATTTGTTAATTCTAAAGTTAGGCCTCTATGTGTTGTTTCAGAAATAACGCTTCCATCGTTCTGTGGAGACTTTGCTCAAACAGGACTCATACTTAGACCACATGTAAATTTGCATACTGATTGCTTGAGTGTTGACAGAGAATTTGGCATAATGCCTTGCAAAGCCAATGGATCACAGAAAAGTTGCTTTTCATCCTCAGCGTGGGTAGAATGTAGACATGAGATGGAACATGCCTTCGAAGAACCTTTTTCTAAAGCACTGCTGGGGAGAAACAGAGTTGAAGGAAAATCCAACACGTGACTGGAATACATTAGGTAGCTTATTCGACCTCATAATCAAAAGCAGTTGTCACTTGATTGACAAAGACCAAGAAGGAAGTTACTTTGTTCCACCCCTTGAGTGCTTTGAAGTCACAATCACCTATACCTGCAGGTAAATCTTCAACAAAGACTGCAAGTTTGAAGATATTTTAATTATGAATTAATTTTTTGTTTTAAATTCATGTCATTTGAGAATGGAGAATGGGAACCAAGGAGATGAATGGAAAACATGAACTTAATATAAAGTAAGTTAATGAAGCGCACGGTGAATTTGATTCATAAATATTTCATAATCCCAATGCTAGTGGCTTCTTAAAATTGTGACTTATGATTCCAATGGAGGTAAAATATACATTCATGCAGAGTGAGCTAAATTTACCGTGGGTAAATTTCATCTATATTTCTCAGAGTTAGTGATATAAAATTCTTGCCCTCCTGTAACTTCCCATCTAGACAATAGAAGTAAACATGAGTAACTATTACCACCCCCCCCCCCAAGAAAAAACACATGACACTTCACTGGCCAGTATATTTTTATTGCCTTGAATTCATCTTGTCTTTTCATCTTATATTTCTGATGCTTTGATATCTTGGAGTCCCACTAACTGGAGGGACTCGATCTCCCAGGGCTTTGGTAATCCTAAGGATAACAAAGAACTAACCTCTGAGTGTGCCTTTCTTATGCCTCCCAAGCATTCCAGGTCTCATAACCCCAAATGCCTTCTTTATTGAGCTCTTATATGCTAGGCCATTATTCCTCAGTTGTCTGTTAGCCTGTTTTCAAACCTTCTGTATAGGTACTGATATTTTGACTTCATGTTCCTGAGAGAGGTAGGTTAAGAAACTGAACTATAACTGCAAACTTAGTTCTCCATTTAGTTGTGCCAATTTTTACTCTATGAACTTTGAGGTGTTATTACTCTATTGTTGTATTTCTTGCTTGATCCTTTCACTGTTATAAAATATTTGTCAATCTCTGGGACTCTTATATTTCTTAAAGTTTAAGTATATTGCAGTGGTTTGAATGGCCCCACCAAAACTCACATTGCAATTTAAACTTCACTGTAAGGTATTAAAAGGTGGCACCAGGCATGATTTTTTTTTTTTTTTTGACAGAGTGCATAGTGAGAGAGAGACACAGAGAGAAAGGTCTTCCTTTTGCCATTGGTTCACCCTCCAATGGCCGCCACGGCTGGCACGCTGCAGCTGGCGCACCGCACTGATCCGAAGGCAGGAGCCAGGTGCTTCTGGTTTCCCATGGGGTGCAGGGCCCAAGCACTTGGGCCATCCTCCACTGCCTTCCTGGGCCACAGCAGAGAGCTGGCCTGGAAGAGGGGCAACCGGGACAGAATCCAGCGCCCCGACCTAGACTAGAACCCAGTGTGCCGGCGCCGCTAGGTGGAGGATTAGCCTATTGAGCTGCGGCGCCGGCCAACCAGGCATGATTTTTAAAAGGTGATTAGGACATGAGGATCTGCCCTCAGTGATGGATTAATTCATTTGGTGGGTTAATGAGTTATGGAGGAGAAAGAATCCACCAGCCTCGTCTACCTTGACACGCTCCTGGTCTGCAGGTCATCCTGCTCGTGTCTGGAACTGTGTTAGTTCTGCTGTTCGCTGGCTGCAGATGGAGATGTCCTTTCAAATTCCCTTTGAAGCTTCAAAGCATACCTCTTTACAGCCAGAAGCAGTATTACGAGCTCATAAAACAACTAGGAGATGCACGCGTGGCAGATTCTATCTCAGGGCTCCCTTTGCTGCTGGAGAGAGCTGTTCAAACATAGATAAAGACCTCTTGCTCTTCGTGGCCTTGACCATCTTAGCACTGTGCTTCTGTGGTGGTTATCAGTTCCTGAAATTGATTCAGTATCAGGCTGTTCCTTAATGTCTGTGAAACTATGCAGGTTACCTCGCCTTCTGCACTTGGGCCTCTTTATCAAAAAGTGGGATAATAGGAATTCGTATCTCCTCAGCTTTCTGTAAAGATTTGCGCGATCATCTCCATAAAGCACTTGGCATGTGATAGGTTCTGTGATCAGTAGTTGTTGTCATTGCCTTTACAACTCGGCAGGAAAAATTAAGAGTTTTATAAATGTCACACCCTAGGCAATTCGGAGATAATGAAATGTTCTGTAAGTGCTGATAGGACTGAGGTACCTGGAAACTGCAGTACTTTGTTAGCATGGACAAGTTTTCAAGTCATGTTTGAGAAAGGAAATTTTAAACAGAATCAAATTACATATTTATTTTTTATTCCATAGCAGTTACTTTTTCCAAAAAGGATTTGAAGTAACCAAAATAGAACTATGTATAATGCAACAAAATGTAAAATTAGACATGGAAAAGAAATTTAAAAATAAAGGGAAAGAAATCAGTGTATATAGTTCATAACCTCGTGCAAAATTTGGAATGGAATCCCAAACATCTGATATCAGATACACTTCATCTGTGCGTGAGCCCAGAGAATGGAGGCCAGACTGAACATCTGAAGCAGAAAGGAAGAGATCAGAACTTTCCATAATTTGTGTCTATTGCCAACTGTTATGAAAGTATCCATGGTTTAAGAGGAAGTCTTCTATAGAGAAATAATTACATGCTTTACATTCTTCTTTGAAGATGGCCAGATGACACCTTCCAGCCTCCCAAGGACATGAACGATTCCTCCATCTTGAGGAGCCTGGAGGATCCCAAGGCACTACATAACCCAAGTTTGTTGAGTATTAGGCATTTGCTGGGTTTCCTAACACCTCCATTTTTTTTTTTTAACACTCAGTGCTTATTGGATTCCTGCCACATGAATCCCGTGTTTCCAGAATAGGAAAGCTGTCTTTCCTGCATCTCTCAATGCTCATCGGACCCAGACTTCACCAGTTTGGAGGGTTTGTGTCAAAAGCAACAATGGTAAGGAAGCAGAAGCTCTGCAGAGTCTGTTTTATTTTGGGCCAGGTTTTGCCTTAGTGTAAAGAATCTGGTCCTGCCCCGGAGGTAGCGTTGGTGCTGCTGGGAGAAGCAGGTGTACTCCGTCCATACACAGCGCGAAAGTGGAAGTGGCAGAGACTCCAGCATATGGAGCTCAAAGGCTGTGGTAATTTTCTTCCAACACTGTTGCTGCTTCAGTCTGTGCTGCTACACCGAAAGCCTGCGACGAGGTAATTTATAAAGAGCTGAAAATGATTTCTCATTGTTCTGGAGGCTGAGAAGCGGGAGATCAGCTCAATGTCTGGAGAAGACCCGTTCCGCACAGAAGGTGCCGGGCTGGTGTCTTAACAAGGCGGAAGAGCAAAAGACAGCGAGCCCTTTTATAAGGGCCCCAATCTGCCCTCACAGCTTAATCTCTCTTGGAAGGTTTCACCTCTTAATACTAGCAAACCGACTATTCGGTTTCAACAGATGAATTTGGAGAGGCCGTATTCAGACCACGGCACTTGGAGACTTGTTTCTAGATTTTTGTCTCAAGTCTGGTACTCCAGCCGTTTCACTGATTCTGTGGGTTGTCCAGTAAATACCCTTTAAAAAGCATCCCTTCTTGCAGAGTCACCTCTGGTTGGTGGAAACCAAAAACTTAAACCCAGGCATTTTCCTCCATCTGCCTCATGCTATACTCATATAAGTGTGTTTTTCTAAATTCATGGTTTGATCCACCATTTTGTTAGCAGAAATGACTTGTAGAGAATACGAGTATGGAAAGGAGTTCTTTGCTTCTTTTTTTTATATAAAAATTTATTTAGGTAATTATTTGAAAGGAAGAATGAGAGAGAGAGAGAGGAGAGAGAGAAAGATGGAAGGAGGGAGGGAGGGAGAGAGAGACAGAGGGAGGGAAGGAGGGAGAGAGAGAGATATGGACGGGGAAGACAAACAGAGAGAGAGATCTTCAATGTTCTGGTGCACTCACCAAATGCTGGCAACAAACAGGTCTGGTCCAGGCTGAAGCCAGGAGCCAACAAGTGCATCCCAGTCTCCCACGTGGGTGGCTCATATTCCCCCACTTTCCCAGGCACATTCGCAGGGAGCTGAATGGGAAGCAGAGACCCTGGATCTCAAACTGGCGCTCCACTATGGGATGCCAGTGTCACAAGAAGTGGCTTAACCCGTGGTGCCACAGTGCCAGTCCTAACTCTCTCTTTACCTCTGTATAATTCGAATTTATTTTAAAGAGAATGAATTGCCTCGCTAGTTTAAAAATGAGCAAAATTAAAGTTGTGACCAGGAAGACTTTGTCTTTAGACATTATATATAAACATATATGGCCAGACAATATATAAAATGGAACTCTGACCCATAATCTGTAGCAACCAAACCAGGAGGCTAAACAGCAACCTCTACTGACATCAACCTAGAGTGACCAGACCTTGATCATTAACTGCAAATTTCCTTCATTTTTGCTCCCCATGTCTCACTTAGGGCCAAGGGAAGAAAGGCAAACATACTTCCACAACAAATCACATAGGAGTCTGTCTAGCTGGGCTGCCTATAACTGCGCTTGTGCTGCAGACGCCCCTCATGGCCTTCCCAGCACCTTCTTTTTTTTTTTGCTCCACAGTTTTCCCACTTTCCTGCCTGCATTTGAGGCTCTACCAGACACAAGTGATGCTGACTGACTCCTTTGATGCGGCCGGCTCTGAACAGAGAGACTTGGAACGCTCTGATTTAGGTGGGCTTCGTTTATTTCCACACCGCCAGGGAATGTTGCTGTAGGTAGCGTACTGATGAGCGCTGTGATGCCTGTGCGTTGCAGAGCCCCCGCTCTGTTTCTACCACTATTGCAGGGGAGCCCCACTCTTCCACAGAGTCCTGTCTGCCCTAAACTTGTGAGTGAAAAGTGGTGGATTCTGTGCACATTCAGGGAGAAGCATTCGGCCCTTTTGTGTGTTCCTCTTCCTATACTATTTTCACAGTACAGGATTCTAAAATGAAAAAATATTATGCTTTAAGGTCATAGAGGTTAAGTGTAATATAAAGCAGCCTAATACAAAGACAGTCACAACAAATCCTATTGCATTAAAGAATAGATTTAGTAGAGCTTCGCAATGCATGTGGTAACATTTTAATTTTCAAAATTCATTCTCCTTTAAAAAGGAGATTTTATAATATCTGTTTTCAAAATAGTTTAGATTATTTTTCTCTCCAAATGTATTTATGTTCCCATAAGGTATCACATGAAACATTTACAGTTAATTTTCTGGAGTTGCATTTGAGTTGTTCTGCAGTTGTCTGGAAATTGCTTGATATAATGTGAAGAACTTAGAAACTGGAAATCATCCCGTTGTTCTTAGCCTAAAGAGTCAGAGATAACATTTCTAGGTAGACCTTCTACCTAAGCAAAATTAGTTCTTCAAATTTCTGCATCCTACATACCCTTTTCATTCCTTTCTTTCTCTGTTTTTCTAAATAGTTACCAAAAAGGTGTTGAATTTATGGTAAGATTATGGACAAGATTATCATTCAAAGCCAAAAAATCCAGTATTCCTTCAGTGGCCTTTTTTGCCCTTAATTTTTTTCTTTATTTTTTTTTCTTGCTTAAAATGTCATCTCATTCCTGGGTTTCATTCATTCTAAAGCACATTTTTCCCCCCATTTTAACATATGTCAGATATATACGATTTGTAATTAATGGAAAGTCCTGGTTTATTTGTGTGTGTGTGCTTTTTTTTATTTTCTGGCAATACACAAAATAATGGTTTATGTGACAAGTGGTACATCGTAAGTCCAATATATGGCCATAGATTTTTTTGAGCATTATTTTCTGAGTGAACTGTCTGATACAGGTACAGTGGTGAGATGCCAGGTGAACTAGGACAGGCGGCTCCTGACTGAGCACACGGGCTTGTAACGTACTGCACTAAGCTCTCGGGTTCATCTTGGTGGGGAGAGCAGCGAGGTCACGGGGTCAGCATCTCTTTCTTTCAGTTCTTTTTTTCTTAAGCAGATGGTCCCTGTGAATAAGCTCTCCTCAGAAGAGTGATGTGTTACAAAACCAAATAAAACCAAATTTTGGAAATCAGTAACCAGGGGAGTTTGATTCTACCTACAGCACAGTCAAAATAAAGGCTCCTATTCAAGGTCCTGTTGCAAGAGAGGTTGTGAACTCCAGCCTTTACAGGTACGTGCAACAGGCTGTTTTACTGATGTGCTAATTTGTGTTTTGTTGTCCGCAGTTTTGCCTCCCCTGTCCTATTCCTAGCATGTAACAGGGCTTATGTTCTCTTTGCCAACAGAAGGTTGCAAGTCTGTTTTACATTTTTATTAATTAAATTTATTCTTTGAAAAGGGGCAGAAAGAGAGCAACAGACAGAGATCTTCCATGCACTGGTTCACTCTCCAAGTGTCTGCAGCAACCGGAGCTGAGCCCTGGGGCCCGAAGCTAGGAGCCCAGAACTTAATCTGGGTTCCCACACGTGGGGCAGGGACCCACCCTCAAACCATCATCTGTTAACTCCAAGGGTTAGCATTGCAGGAAGCTGGAATGAAGAGCCGAGAGAGTCCTCTTATGAAGAGACAGGGCTGTCTGTCCTCCACCATCACCCCCAAGATAAAGATGTTGTCCAGGTCTGACCTGAGCAATTTTGCTTCCCTCCATGGAGGTGGCCTCAAAGATGACTTGAGTCCAGGTGCACATGACGGTGGGCTGTAGGCAGAGGACTCCTATTCTCTGTCATGACCTGCGCTCTCAGCATTCCAAGAAGACCTGTAGCCACCAAGCCTGCAGTCATTCAATGCTGAGCAACAGCTCTATCTTATGAAAAACAGCGATTGTAGAACAAGCCGGGAATGTTTCATTGACATCCATGGTGGGCAGATGCCTGGAGAGTCTCTGGTGTCTTGACATGTACAGAATTCCAAGAGCCCTGTGGAATCTTGTACAAGAGAAGACGGGAACTAGATCCTCAGGATGGCTGTGCTTGAGTTTCATAGCCCCCTCGCAGGTACAAATAAGAGACAGTTGAAAGTCAACTTGAGAAAAAATATTTATTTCATAGAATTTGTAGTACCAATACACATCGTGATACAAACTTTATCCTATTGAACATAACATCTGAAAGGACAGTGTTTTCCTGTCTGACCATTGAGGACTTGGAGACTGAAAGGGAAGAGATTAGCCCTATTCTTCAGGGGGAGTATATCTAGCAATGCAGAAGTATGAGTCCTACAAGGAATAACAAGGGAGCATGTTTTCTGGCAAAATGACTTAATTTCCCACTTCACAATAACTTCCATGTCTAGTCATTTCTCAAAGGTATCCTTTCTCTTTAAGACTGTTGTCATTCAGGAAAAGTCTGCATTTGAGGAGATTTTCTCAATTATGCCCAAAATATCGGGATAAAAAGTAAACAAAAAAATTAAAGGAAGCATTTAGCTATATCTAGAAGATAGAGGGTCCTGTAGACATAATCAACATAGGAGAATGATGTAGGGACTAATTTAAATTGTAGCATTGTATCTTGCTTTGTCTTTGTTTTGTTTATAGTTTCAGAAGAACTCTATCATGGAATCTCAACATTCCAAATGGACAAAGTGAATGTCATCCTTAGACAATTTAAGTTTCTCAGTTTGGCTGAAAATACACCATTATTTGTAAAATCCACGAGACACCTGTGATTCCAGATAGTTTTGGGAGGGGGACTCTAGTGGGGACTAACAGCGAGAGATAAAGAGCATGAACTCTGCAGTGGGGGTGGCCATTCTGTTTCTTGTTTTCAGGAATTGAATATCCCACTCAACATGGCTGACCACCAGCTCGAGTCACGCCATATAGACTCCAAATAGGGCTCCCCGACTTAGCAGGTGGAAAATGTAGGGCAAGTAATTTAATGCTGATTATCAGCCTTATCTTCTAGAAAACAGGGATCATAAAAGAATCTACCTCATGTGTTGTGAGGACTAAATGAGGTGATAGACATAAAACTTAGCAAAATAAATGGCTCCCAGTGCTGCTGTCATTCGGCCCACAAGTCTACAGGTACATTGAATTAAACTCAGGAGGAAGCCATTTTCTTCTCCTCCTCTTTTTCCTTCTTCCTCCCTCTGCTCTTCAACTTCCTGCTCCTCCTCCCTCTTCCTCCAACAGGACTTGAACTGAGCCAATGCCAAAGTTCTAGAGCCCACATCTTTTTAGCATAATCATGAACAATAAATAAGGGTTTCCAAATCTTTGCTTGGAGAAAAAGCTCAGAGCTGGAGGAGAATGATGAATAATTACTTACAGCTCAGTAAAAATATGAGGGTAAATACTGGACTTCTAAATGCAAAGTATTTCCTCTAAAATTTGGATAAAATGGTTTTTCATTAAGAATGTAAAGTAGATGATTTTGAGGGCATTTGTTTTGAGAAGATTTATTATCATGTAGATAAAAGATTAAATACCCAAATATCATATTTGTTAATTTGCCATTGATGAGAAAATTAACCATGCTAAAACATTCTTATTTTTAGAGCAAAGAGTCTTTTAAATTCTGTGCTCGGAAGGAGAGCTGCCATTGTCAAAAAATTTAAATACACACAGATACTTCTCAAAATTGTCAATCAGGATAAAGATTGTAATAAAACCTTCTGTGTGCTGCTTTAAGACAAAGTGCAATGATATCTTGATTTCTCTGTTGTTTCTTTTATGTGTGTGTGCACACACATACACATAGATGTTTATAGTGAAAGCGATGATTAATTAGTAAAACAGATTAATTGAAAGTTTAGTAGCCTAAAGAGGTATTTCAACGCCTCAGAGTGATAATAGCACCATATTTCCTTCTCAGTCTTAATGGGTCTCAACTTCCTGTGGCCTTTGTTGCTAGGAAACGAGTCTCTACTGAATTGAAAGCCACCTTTCTGTTGTTGTTGACTCCAGAGACTGAAATGAATCAGCCTTCTTTCGAATGCTTCATGATTAGCAATCAGTTATGTGCCTTAGCAGGAGGTATAGACCAAATGAGAAACCCTGAGTTTGACATTTTCTGTGGAGCTGGTGCTGATAACTCCAAGAGCAACCCAGGTCCCACCCAACTTCCTTGGAAAATATCCATTAGCCTATCCTGCATGAAGTCAAGTGCCCCAGAAGTAAAAAGATAAAAGGATACATGCTATAGTGCATTTTCCCTCATTTCCATATTGCAGTAAGGTACATGCCTTCTTAGGATCCCTGATAGATATTCAGAGAGGTAGAGCTTCAAAGCTAAATGCATTCCTGGGCAAATTGCCTTCTTTGGCATAGTTCTTTTGTATTTACATTTCAGACCCAAAATTTGGATGAGTGCTGGAGGCTTTTAGCTTCCCAAGGGAACTGAAAATGATGAAAGGTACCAAATGCTTTTGTGAGATGAGTAACTGTGGTCAGTAGAAGATGCACATGGTTTACAGTCTTGTTTCTTCCATAACCCAACTTGGAAATGTGGATGAACAACACTTGGATTCTGATATAATCCTAAACGTACATGCAGAGGCAAAGACCATGTCTATAAGATATGAATCATCCATCAGCAGAAATCATGGTTCAAGGCAGGTCAAGACAGAAGCCCTTGAATCTAATCTGACCAAAAATGGATCATAAGCCAATGCCAGAGTGTAGCTTAAGGAGCCTCTTGAAGAGCCTAAAGACTTGCAGGCTTGGCTCTGCTCTTTCGTTCCTGCTTTACTATCCTGTGTGTACGTGTCCTCCACTCTATTTTAAGCTCTTCACCCCCAGCTGTGGAGCTCCTATTGCATTAAGCAGAGTATTTTGCATATTGATGGCATCCACCAATAGTTAATCAACTTACTCTAGTTGATCCTCAGAGGTAACTCTGGCTGTGTCTAAATTGAGTTCCAATTTACAGATCTCTGTTGTTAAGTAAAATCAAAGAAAAACCAGTTCAAAGAAAAGCCAAAAATTATATGGGCACAACCAAGAAGTTGATTGTGAGCTCAGCCATTTCAATATGGTTACAGGAGAGCTCTTTTTAATCCCTATGGCAATTGGAGAGTCGCCTCAGCTCAGGGAGCTGCATAGGGGTGGGGTTAGTCATCTCCAGCTAGGTCCATGGGAAAAGGGGCTAGCAGGTGAAAGGCAGCTGATGGAGAGGAACCCAGGGGTGAAGCTGAGGGGGCATGCAGCCTGTCTAGAGGAACCTGGTGGCCACGTGTATCTTCTATTCTGGCTGCTGCCACAGGTACCAGTGTTGGCTCACTTTTGGCGTTTATAATAGCTCTTGTTTACCAAGCCACCAGTCACCTCCTGGATGCTGATTTTAGGTAGATGAGCCCAAGATTCTACACCTTATGGTTTAAAAGATCGGATTTTCTTTTCCCCAGTTTGTTCCCAGGAAGCTGAGCATAATCCTCCCCCCACTGCCAAATCCAATTTGATTCAGCTCGCCTTCCTTGAAAGAGGGGCCACCTACTCATCCTGTTAGCTCACCTGCTGCTGAAGGAGCTTGCCCTTCAGTGTCTCAAAGGAAAGTTACACTCCTAAAGGCAATGTTCTAAGCGCTTCCAAGGGCGCTTTCAGAGAAATCTCATCTGGCTTAGGAAAACAGAGCTCTGGGAGTGCTCATTCCATACTAAATAAGGATAAAACCATTTTTGTACTGTAGAAGTTATGTTTGCCCTTACTGGCAGAATACTCATAACAGGGCAGGAGAACGTACCAGAACTGAGTTCTGGAAGCAAGCCACTTAGGGTTAAATGCTATAGTGTGGGAGGACCATGGACAATTACCTTCTGTCTCTAAACTTCAATTTATTACAATCTACAAATAGCAGTTATGATAATATTCTCCTTGTAAGACTGCTATAAATATTCCATGAGATGATACGTGTTCGTAGCAGAGACCGTGGCATAGAACAAAGTGCAAAATAAATCATTTTGCTGATCATTGCGCTTCACAGTAACATCCAATGACCACCTTCTATGCGCAAAGCTCTGTTGGGTACGGGAGTGGTCAGAGGAACAAGGCAGACCTCCTCCTCTCCAGGAGCTCTCAGACTGGTGAAGAAAGTGGACATTTGAAGAGGAAAGTACAGTATCAACTGGCTTAACAAGGGAAAGGGCACTGAGGAAGGCTGGAGGAGAGAGAGGCTCGGGAAGTTTGCAGAGAAGGCGGGGCTTGTGGTCTGAACATTGAAGGAAGGATGA